TACTTCATACTGTAAAATGACTAATTTTCACTGGATTTAAATTTCGCTGATTTACCATTTCAGGCATATTCAGTGGGTTTTAAATTCACGGTTTTATCATTTAAATAATGTGTTCTATGCTAAATTTTACATATTCACTGGGTTTTAATTTAGCGCATTTTTCAGACAGCGAAATAAGCAAAATTTAAACCCAGTGAATAATTAATCTTATTACAGTATACGTTTTGACATAATTAGGCACTATGACAAGAACTCACCAAGAAAAGCTGATTTTGGCTTTCACTCAGCATACTATCATCAGGACTGTCCACCGGTGTCTGTTTTGTAAACTTTGTATCAAATTGACTCACATCTTCCTCACCACTCTGCAAAAGACATAAATATTATTCAATAACTACCAAGTACCATGACAAATGTAACACGGTTATAAAGAAAAATCCTTGCATGGTTTTAGTACATGATAAAAAGTCATGCTTCTGATTAAGTTTGCATTAACAGAAATCAGTTGATTACAGGTGTCTCCTGAAAATCTAGCACCAAAAACAATTCCTTTCAAAATGCAGTCATTAAAACATGTGAAATCCATTTTATATGGCTTGAACTGTCACCAATATTAAACATATTCCAGATTATTGACATCTTATACAAACGCCATATACAGAAGCACTATACCACAAGATGAAAATAGAATCGAAAATGCTCACTCAGCACAACCTGTTTGTTAATCAACTTATTTGGGGGCTGTTACCTCTCATTAAATTATTACTACAAGCAAGAAAAAGATGTATAATAAGGCTACCACAAGAATACTGCAAATTATTCACTTGACGTCAGCTACACGTTGACAAATACGATTGCCATATGGCCTTCATGCATATACTTTGCAGTATTCCCCTGATAACCTCATATGAAAGTGAACTCTCTAGGTATCTAAGACCATCACAGTTTTGCTGCACCCTAGAGTTGAAACTAGAAGTTTTCACAACATAATATCATTGTCATTGTCCGTGTTGAGAGGCCAAGAGAAGAACTGGTATGTACTCACTATTGCAGGTTTTATTGGGGGTTCCATTTTCCTTGCCAGAGTGTCATCCCAGTTAACATTCCTAAAGAAGGAATGTCTTTTAATTGTTCGTGCATCATCAGCACCGCCACCAATTCTAGAGTTGGTATGTCTCTTCAGCAGCTGAATAAAACAGACATGACTATTTCAGAAAACTCTGAACACATCTATGCATACATGTGTAACGTTTTCACCACCAGTTCTCTCTTTACATGCAAATTCACAAAATCGGGACAAAGATAACCAAATTTAAAAAATCAAAATTGATTAAAATTTTGTCTTTTGGTTCGAAAAATTAAAGCACATTTCCAGAGATATTGAAGTATAAGAAAAAATTGCAGAGAAATGTCGGCAAGAAAGTCCGGTGGTGAAAAGTAGGAAGGGCAATAATTATATCACAATGAATATTTACCAACTGAAACAAAATTTTAATTGAAATACAAATGTACAAAAAATTTATCACAAGAAAGAAAACAACACTATTATGCCTGACTGGCTCAGCATGAGAGAAAATAAACGATATATCTATACTAAGGGGTGTCATTTGTAATAACATAATAGCTGTTATTTAGCCGATTCACTGTATCTGTCCAAGAAGCCTCTAGAATACCAAACAGACACATGGGCATTTTTCACCCAAATACAGGTGGAATGTACAAGCATGTTGAATGATTCCTTACAACAGACTATAATCCTATAAGTAATGACGATAAGATATGTCCACTTACCCTCCTAATCAAATCTCTTGCTTCATTCGTCAAATACGGAGGTAGATTCAATTTGCCTTTTAAAATCTGAAAGTCAACAATGTAAATTAGTACGTACAGAACATGCTTATGGAGACCTTTTCGTCACTATTTTAAATAGGTAAATTTTTTGAGCAACACCCTAATTTTTGAACGAACGAATTTCAGTTCAACAAGCTGTATGAATTTATGGTCACTTCGTGGTTGAATGCAAGATTTAGTACCGGTATACTAAATGTACACAAATCAGGTGCAATTTCTACTGGTATTGGCATGTTGTCCTCTACAAAAGAAGCTAAATAAACACATAAGCTGTGACAACACGCAATGGAGCTGCAAAAAAATCACCCACAACTCACTAAATTAGCAGTATACCTGGTTTCCTAACACTGAAAATGTTTACTGGAATCTTGACCTCAAACTAGAGTTGCCGCCCTTGTAGTCTTCTACTAACTATCAGTAAATTCATAATATAATAATTTGTTATAAGAAAGTACACTTACTTTGTCTATTGTTTTCTTTCTATTTTCAGCTGTAAATGGAGGCTATGAACAAAGAAAAATCACATTATATTAGACTGATCAACTTTAATGCTGAAATAACTCAGTTCATAGAACGACATCTTTGTAAGATTCAATACACCATATTCAAAGTTAGCACCATAGTGGACTTTTTCCATATTTCGCTGTTCTTACGAGAACATACTACATGGAAAAATGTCCTTAATATTGATATCATTGATACTTTCTTCATATCCAGGTTTGTCATAATACCATATAACAATTTTAATTGAATAAAATAGATACCTGGATGAGATCATAAATTAAACCGTCTACATTTCATCTAAATCTACTGGCTTTTTGACTTTTACAGTTAATTTCTCAACATTTGCTTTTTGCATTAATGCTTCAGCAGTTATGAAAAGAACAAATTTCCATTAAAAAGAGTGAATATAGCATTCAAAAAAAATAACCCTCACTTCTATGCTACACAGCGGTATATACAAACAGCGCCACCAATGACCAAGTTCTAAAATATACTTACAGCACCAGTCAGCATATCATACATAAGAGCACCAAGACTCCACCAGTCCACAGCTTTACCATGACCACTTCTTAAAAGAATTTCAGGAGCCCTAGCAACATAAAAAACATCACCAACTTAAAATCGGCTGTATTGTAC